TCTGGATCTCTATCTCGGTCTCGATCTTGATCTGGATCTCGATCTTGATGTCGGTCTCAATCTGGATCTGGATCTGGTTCTCGATCTTGATTTTCATCTCTATCTCTGTCTGAATCTATCTCACTTTCATCGTCACATGCATGTCTATGCCCGCAACCCTCTCTCGAAATGCCCATAAACCTCTGCGTTCACCATCTCCACATCTCCACATCTCCATGGCACATGGCACATGGCCATTCCAACCTCCATCTTCATACTAGTAAGTGCTGTTCGCCTTCATCTCCATCTCATCTCGGGTTATCATCTGTTTCCTTCTCAAGACCCATCCCTGTGTACGTTCTTTTGCTGTGCCAGGCATGGCAAGTCGAAGCAGAAGCAGCTGATTGCCGTTGATTTGCCATGGCTGATGTATGGCTGTGGTCAGATGTTGGCATCCTCATGCTCTACACGCCCACCTTTTCCCAATGCAGTGGCCACTCCCCTTGACGGCAGGAAACTGGAGCTTAGACACTAGAGCGTAGACAAATGCTTGAGAGCGAATACTTACTTGGACAGCTTTGTCAGCAATGACTTTTTTTTTTTTTTTTTTTTTTTTTTTTACTTGAACAGCTTTGTCAGCAATGACTTCTAACCTCCTGAAAATCTGTTTCATGCAGGAAATTGTTCGATCTGCTCTCACAGACGGTGGCAAATGCACAGAACAACTCTGCACTGCTGCTTGGCCCACGAGGATGCGGCAAGACTTTGGTAAGCCATATCAAAAAAAAGTTTGAAATGAAAGGCAAATGTAATAAGTGACTAATAAGGAATTAAACAGAGTATCGAGTCAAGGTGAGTCAGATAGACATTTTTTTGTTGTCAGCTTTCCAAGAAGACCTGTCAGATTTTTTCGGTGCCACGTTCTGAGCTCCCCAGGTTGTTTTTTGGGTCGGCAAACCCAACTCTATAGAGTGCTGCCACTGCATCAGAAAGCTCCCCCTTTGCAGTGGGATACGCACAGGTTCTGTCTCTCAGCCATTCAGAGAGGATCTTTTGCCTCTCTAGGCCTCGCCGCACTACTAGCCAAACGCCAACATTTTGAATGTATCTCGTTTGGAATGTTGGCGTTTGGCGAGTCGTGCGGCAAGGCCCTTTGGAGTGGCGTAGTGTAGAAAGGGGGAGAGAGAGAGAGAGAGAGAGAGAGAGAGAGAGAGAGAGAGAGAGAGAGAGAGAGAGAGAGAGAGAGAGAGAGAGAGAGCATGGATCAAACCAAGACCATAAGACTCAGATAAATGAACACACAAAACATCACTGCCGCTATCAATCCTAGCTCAATGCCGCTATAGCCGCAGCCACCCTCACCTCAGCATGCTGGTGGCCGTCCCCCAATAGGTTCTGTCTCTCATTCATTCAGAGAGGATATTTTGCCTCTCTGGACTGGCCCTTGCCTGCTTTATATCCGCAAAGAGTCTCTCACGGGATTCGAGAGGGGGGGCACACAGTAGGCAAGGGACTTAATGGGCCTAAGGGGCTCATGGGACACATAGGCTTATGGGACTCAGATATTACAGTTAGGACACATAGTATAGAAGAACCGTACAGGTGGGATGGATCAGTGTGTTTGTGTTGAATTATGCATGAGGGGTGGGGGGGAGTGAGTGGATGGAACTGTTTCTTTTGAACCATTACTACATAGAAGCCCTCCTTTTCCCCAAGCAGTGGCTATAATAGGCCTGGATTTCCTGCCTAGAAACTGGTAAGGTATTGGGCCTCTCTAGGCTCAGCTGGGGTCAGGTCCGAGTCTAGTGGTGGTTTAAACCACCAGTACTTCCTAGAGTCGTGCCCGTTAACGCGCCACGATTTTAGGTAATGTGTATGGGCCACTACAGGAGCGCCCAAATTCATCCGACTAGAAACGTTTCTCCTCCTTTTTTTTCCACGGCCGAGAGCTGGGCCAAGTACTGTTTTTTTTTTTTTTTTGAACATACACCCCCACCGGTAGTAGTGGTGCTGGTAAGAGCAGTCACCACTACTACCCGGGGAGAGGCTCCTTCTATTGGGGGGAACATCACCTGCTGGAAAGCGGGTCCAGCGTCCCATATACAAATTGTATTCAGAACGTCTCAGAGAAAAGTTGGAGAAACGCTAAGTAAAAAGCCTGCCAGCATTGATTACCCTGGAATAGGGGATTGACTGAGCAGGTGCTCGAAAATGACTCTCAGAAAGTAATTGGAAGTAGCCTGCCAGCAGACTGAGCAGGCTGTCGAAAACGAGTCTCAGAAAGTAAAAGTACCCTGCCTACCCTCCTGTGTATTTGCGATAAAGGAGCACGTGTCGCCCAAAAAGCAAATCTCTTGACCCTTGCTTCCCAGAGGGGCGCCAGAAAGCCGGGTCTTTGGACGATAGTATATAATCCTAAGGAATGATGTAACAGAGGATAATGCGCGGTCTCAAGGAAGGGGGGGCAGGGTCAATCGGGAATCTGAGCAAGAGCGAGTGGGTGTGGGGGGAAGGGATCAGGAAAGTCCGTCGGAGGGCGTAGGGGGAAGGAGGGTTCTATCGTTGTCCAGTCATTAAACAGTAATCGGTAATCTCGTGACTCTACCCTCTCCTGCTGTTGGATACCTTCCTTTCTGCTGCCGGTCCATTCCACTCTAGCTATCCAGCCTCCTCTAACGCCTCCTAGCCAGTTGGAACAAAAGGCAGTGATGGCTCTCTCTATATCCTCTGTCATTTGTAGGAGATCCAGTTTGATTTTCAATTCCTGCCATTTCCTTGTTATCTCCATTTGAACCTGTTGCCGGATTTGGTCCGTTGTTTCTGTTCCTTCCACTCGCACTCCCTCGAGCGCCATCAGGCAGCGTTGCCAGCAAAGTCCCCACAGTACTGCCCTGCGTCCCAGTCTATACATATTTTCTACGAAGGGTGGTTCTTTCTGCACCTGTGGCCAGTGACCCGTCAAGATGGCTCTCCAGGACCATGGCCATACAGGGTCCGGTATCATCTTTCTCCATATTCTGTCCCACCAGCACCACGTGAGCTGTGCTGTAGGGCACTGCATAAAGATGTGTTCTATGGTTTCAGGCCTCTTTCATGTGGGGAAGGCGCCTAGGCACCGTGGGCACCAGGGTGTCGCCAGGCCTTTCTGCTCGAGATTCGTATGATCTACTAGCCAGTCCGTAGTGGGTAAACAGCGATGTATGATCTGCCATTGTAGAGAGGAGATCTTGGCTGGCTTGGATCCACCCTCCTGAAACCACCGGATCAGTGTGAGCGTACTCCTTTCTATATTGAGATGTTTGGCCCATCGATCAATTATTGTCTCTCTCAGCGGGCGTTTGGGCCTCAGCAACCTATAAGTGGATTTGATTGAGAGCTTGTGCAGATGGATATAGCGGATGTGGCGGGGGGGGTTTGCTTTGGGTGTGGCTGAGGCCCACCTCCACTCCCATGGATCCAGGGCCAGGTGTTGAATTCCAGTGTCTGGCTGGAAAGCAACCGCCTCCTTTCCTTCCCCCCGCACCCTGACCCTGAAGATGGCGTTTTTTTCCTTCCATTTGAAGAGGTCGTGGCTCCCCTGTAGTGCCCCCGTCTGATGAACTGTGTACCACTCGATTAGTACATCTTGGCTTCTGACTGTGTGGATCAATCCTATGCGCCCTGTCTCCCCTCTACTGGCCACCCAGTCCCCCTAAACTTCGGGCCTTTTCTAAGGGTTCTATACCATGCCAAGGGGACAGTATCCAGTAGCTCCTCCAGGTTTGCCTCCGTAGAGTGACAGTATTTTAGCCGGCTACGCAGCTCCTCCCCTGTTCTCCATTTCCTCTGGTCTGCATCCCATAAGTCCCCTATCCGGGTTACCCCAAGTACTGGTGGTTTAAGGTTGCATACCTGCTAATGTTTGGGACCATTTTTCTTCGCCATGACTATGTTGGTCTGGCAGTCCCACACGGCTAATTAGGGTAATTTTTTTTTGTTTGGCCCAGCAAGGCCTTTGCAGTATGTCGGGTACAGTTGCTAGTTTGGCGGCGCCCTACCGGGTTTGCGCTTGTTTTATGACTACTTATTCTGTGGTCCAGGCCCTTGGCTTTGGGTGATTTTCACATTATTGTGGGATATGTATATTCAACTATATTGTCAGCAAATTATTATATCCGCTAATCACTATTTGGGGCAAGTCATCCTCCCAACACGTCCCTGCAAACCAGCGTGCAAAACAAAAGCCTGGCTGACATAACTGCATGTTGCTCCACAAGGCATCAGAGGGCTGCAGGCCAGAGTGGGGCACAATTCTTCTTGTATCGCCGGATAGAAAACTTGTGCCGCACCTTTGCGAGATACTCTTGAAGGGGCCACCTCTACCCTGCTATCTGACCCCAGGGTTGGTTGCTGCAGTTCACAGATACGCCTGGGAACCTCTAGTCCGACGAATGACCTCGGGGCTGGTGCTGTGTGCTGGCACCAATCTGACAGGATGCAACTTCAGTAGGCATCCAGTGCGTGGAAAGGGAAGCCAAACGAAGTACCCCCGCTGTAGAAGGTCCAGCAGACGAAAATGATGCAGAACTGGTTGCTGCTACCCTTGGCGAAGCAGCTGCTGAAGAAGAGATACTTGAGCATGAAGATGGGGTTCCAGCTTTTGAACCAACTAGATAAAATAGTCTTGTAGTTTATGGAGGGGACTAGCAATCTCAGCGTTTGCTCTTGACGTAAAGGCGACTGTCAGTTGAATTGTGATGTCAGGTCGAAGCGGGGATACAGTTGCATAAGTGCATCCTTCCCAGCTGAGCTCGGTCTCCTTGCTTAGGCTTTGGTTGCTGCCACTGCTGCTGAAGCTATGTCAGCGCTGCATCCTTGTTTGGACATTGGTCAGTGGTGTGAAAGTGGCATCTGCACCACAACCAATAACCTTGTTTAATGGGATATGAATTATTCTCTCAGTCAGACCTATGATAGCCAGGGTTACGGGCCTTTCTGTCTGGTGCCCAATGAAGTGGATGCGTGCATCTTCCCCTTCCCTTCGGGCTTCTGTTGGATGTGTGTCAATGTTTCCTTCAGTTGCCACAATAGGGTCTTTGACGACAGTCTCGCTAGTGGAAGCGTCTGAGACTACAACAAAATGCTGGATGGATTTACCCTTCTCCACATGATGTGGTTATGCCTGCTGCTGATTTTGTGCAGCAACATTGGCACTGCAGATCTTGTGAGCCCGCACCACCAGGTCAGCCATAGTATTAAGAGATTTGCACAGACTTTGAGCTGGTGCTGCAGTGACATGCACCAATGTTTACCGAAGGTATCCTTCAAGATGATGAAGTGGATTGGCAGCTGTGGTCCGGAAGTGAGGTGCTGAAACTTTGTGATCCAATCTACCGTCTTCAACCGAATAGAACGGCTGATCATTATAGCCATATTTGGGGCAATTTTCAGTCGAGATATGGCTATAATGACCCGGCACTCTATTCGGGTGAAGACTGTAGCGATGGAGTGAATGCTACCTTAGTGCACGATGATGTTCGGCTGGTCGACCGGGAAGTGTTTCTTCCAAGCATCCTCGATCTTTCATCAGGTCATCTTGACGCTCAGGCTGCCGCTGTCTTTATTTTAGCAGTGAGGTTATCCATGCATGCTTGAGTTGCTCCCACCGATTTGCGACAGTGGCAATCAGGTCGTGCATCTCAGGGTCAGCAGGAACTCACTTAACGCTGGCTGGGTGTGCTTACTGTGGTCGTCAAAGACAGCCTCAGGGGCCTCCAAAGCTGCCGAATCTGGACAGCATCCCTCTCTTTGACAACCACACTTAGCACACCCCAGACAGCGGCGATCAGCCCAAAGCGGGGTAGAGGAGGGGCCGAGAATCATACTGCTTCCTCCCGAATAGAACATATGGTTATGGGGGCAGCTTTCAGTCTACATACAGCTACTATGAACGTACGTTCTATTCGCGTGAAGACGGTGGTGACCTGATTTTCCACTGTGGCCAGTCGAGATTGCAGATCATCGATCTCGTCCGGTGAGATGGAAGGTGAGGCAACTGGGCCAGGAACGCATCCAATGACCCTGGGGGCAGTGGATCTGGTCCTGTTGGAGCACTATTGTGCGCACTACTGTCTTGACCTGAATAGAATGCTGGGTCATCATAGCTCTATTTGGTGCAGTGTTCAGTTTAGACACAGCGATAACGACCGGGCATTCTGTTTGGGTGAAGACGGTAGCTGGGAGAAGATGATACTGAAGTAGCTAGGTCCGTGTCCATGTGGTTATGGTTTTGTTGGCAGCAGCAGGGTTGCAACCCCCGACGGTCGGCGGCCCTTGA